GTTGTCAATTTTGTAACTTTTTGTAAGCTGGAGCAGACTCGTCTAGGTTTAAGCGCGGAAATTTGAATGAACAGACGTTGGTTGTAGTGTTGTTAATTATACCGAATTAATTTAGTAGCTAACTGTGAGACGTCTGGTTAGATACACCGTCGAACATTTAACTTTAGCTTTGCTTAAAGCTTATCTTAGTTAGCAGCTACTCTAACAGCGTTCTCTCTTTTTCCACAGCATTTTTCTACGTTGACCGACGAGAAATAAAGTTATAAGGTAAGATGTGGCCTTAATAGTGGGTATTATGACAGTTATTATCAACTAGATAAATTATGGTGTTGTTGATTTGGGCAAAGGTGGATTAAATTCATCTCAAATTATAGTTTTTCTTCCCTGCTGTGTGTGTGAAACGGAGCAACCGTTGTCTGTCTCGTCAACAGAAAAATGAAGTGCGCATGTCAATAAGTTATATATTTTAATTATCTTGTCTCTGGAATTTTCCACTGCCAAAATAAATGTTTTGTGCGGCCGTTTTCCCGCTGTTAGACCAAGGTGCACTCATCTGTGTTTTGCAAGAACATTAATGTTGGTTAGATGAACCCAATAATTATTAAAATACCAGATAATTAATGTACATTCTACTCAGAGGAAGGCATGAGTGGTGCTGAGAGAGCTGAACCTCTGATGGAGAAGACCTATCATCCAGCGACGCTATCAGAGGTATTTTTTCCCTATTCCATCTTGTGAAGCACATGGCTCATTGCATGGGTGGAGTATAGTCTCAATAATCTGAAATGTAAAATGCACATCTCTTTCAAAAACAATCCAAAGCTATAAAAATTCCCTTATTTTACATGGCAGTTTGTAACAGACTAACGGGTTGCGACAAACACAGGTCTTTCTTCAGGGTCATTGTCCACAATATCTTTCATTTGTTTTGTTACAATAATGAGTTAAAGGGGTCATATTATGTAAAATTCACTGTTATAAGTTGTTTGAACAGCAACGTGAGAACAATGAGCCTATACTACCAAAAATCCACTCGCTCGTTTTTGAGGCTATATACACACAATGTACCTGAAGCATCCAAAGAGCACCTGTATAAAATTACAACAAAGATTCAGCAGCACTTCTACTCCATTATCTTCAGGTGTTCCCACTTTACTCTACTGACCGATGTCTCAATCCTCGTGAAGTTTCGTGAGGCCCTGGAGAACAAATTCAACACCATTCTGAAGTTCTGCCAAGAAGTCAACTGTCATCAAGGCGTGAAAGATGTTTTGGCTTGTTTTGAACTGGAGGCTTCAGACAAGGCTACATGCATTCTTCTCCTTCTGATGGCGTACTTCAAAGAGCCCAAGGATGCCATTGTGCTTGATGTTGATGTAAGTATATTTTCACTCTGACATTAACATAAGCAGTAGGCCTATTGTTTTTTGTAAATGGTAATAGGACTGTACTTATATTGCATCTTTCTAGTTTTCTGACCACACAAAGCGCTTCACTCTACACTTCACCATTCATACAGGTGCCAACTGCTCATCAGTCCAAAGAAACCTGTCACATTGTCATGATCACATTCTAAACTTTACCAAATGTGTACTGCCTAATCTAAGATAAATCAATGGGGGCCAAGGGAAGATTTGTTCTTAAGTTGACTATAGCTACAATAGGTACAGATTATTAACATTTGAATCTTATTCTACTCTTATTTTTGCAGCCTTGTGCCACAGCCACTGATGTAGAAGGGACCGTGATGCTACCAAGCACCCCTCGCTTGATTGTTCAAGGTAATGTTGATGTCTTCCTCATTTTGAATGTATTCTGTCAAGTCATCCACAGATTTGTTGTGAGCAGTTTCATGTACCGGTAATAACTATTTTCTTTCAACCGATAGTTCCTACATGAAACTGCTCACAATAAGGTCTGGATTATCTTAAGTAAACCAGGTCATGATTTCTGGAAAGAGTTTTTCAAATGTGTTTTTTTGCACTTTGAGCACCACAAACAAAGTTCCATATAGTCCCTCTATAAACAAAAAAATTCTGTTAAAAATATAACCTGAGAGTGAGTAGTGTTCTGAGTATGATGTTCATGTATTAATTTCACAGGCTTCAACTTGAATTAAACTAACAGGTTTCTTCTGTCTTTTTGTTTATAGGTGCTTCTTGGGCATCAACCCAGAGCCGGGCACAAAATCTAAGAGGCAGAGAGGTCACATGAACCAGCAAGTCTGCACTCTGATTAGGAAGCTCATTGACTTCGAATGGATGTCAATCTAATTGTAGCGATTGTACGCACGTATAAATATAATTAATTATTATTCATAACAGATTATGATCAATAATTAATAATTGAATTATTTTCAGAATTTACTGTAGCAAAATCAATAATATGATCAGTTTATCAGTTCATCCAATGAACGGAAAGCATAAACAATTATTAATTCTAGGAAATATAATATCTTCTTGGCCAAGAAAGACTAATTCCCAGCTAACAGCTAAATTAAGAAATAAATCAAGGGTCAAAGCATAGGTAACTTAGATCGAAGTTCAAGACAATAAATCGGTAAGCACATATCACAAGTAATGCTTCTCTTTTCAAATACAAACAATACTTTATTGATTATAAGCCTATGGCTAACACACAAAACAAATATCTAACACAAACACACGCACACGCATTCATACAAGTTGAAGGAAGACAGAGAGTGAGGAAGAATGAGTTTTAGGAGTTAGATGGTGAGATTCCAAGTTTCTATATGCACTTAAAAGACATGACCTGAACGAACCATCAATAATTAATTTCACCCTTTTATCGTTTCTTAGGCGGGTGATTCAATTTACATTTAAAGCACCAGTCAGTTAGAGTCTGGAGGCGTTACTTGCTTGTCCTTTGCGTTGCTTTGGGGATTCTCCTTTTTGTCGTAAAGGGGGTTTCCCGGTCCGTTGGTTGGCTGGCTGTCTCGTGCCTGGATAGATGTCTTGGGGCGGCCAATCACGTGGTGTGTTGGCGCGGATGAATGAAAGTCTTTGAAGTTGAAAGCTGGTTTTGCAGTTGAAACGTTAAAACGAAACTTTGCAGCAAAACTTAACTTAGAACCGAGACTTTTATCGGAAAAGAAACAAACTAAGAAAAGAAAGGAAAGTGTGACGAGATGGCTTCAATTAAATCTGTTTTAACCCATATCTTGATTTGGGTCATTTGTCTCTGCGTCTACATGGTTACTACCATCGTCGGGCATCACAAGAGCTTAGAGAGCGAGTCCAGAGCTCTTTTCCCGAGAGCGTTCAGAGAGCATCACAAGAGCGAGGATCACAAGAGCCGTTCAGAAGAGAGTTCAGAGAGAGAGCGTTCTGTGTCCGGGTCTAAGATTTTAAACTCAAAATGTTTGTCCCGCCTCCAGGAGGAATTTGGAATTCGGACAATAAGACACTATTATGGTTATTTGAGAAGGGGGTCTTTTCTATCCCCCCCCTTCTCTCATCGCGAATCATGTGTCCTCTGTGGTCTGCTTACTCATCAGCTCGAAACAGAGGATTCAGTTTAGACATAATTTCCATTTTAAGAACATAAACATTTTTACACAGATTTCAATCAAGCCATCTTTTGAATTAAACACATACGAGCATAATGATAGGAAACAACGCACAATTTCACTCACACACCTAATATTTATAACAAATATGAATTGTATGGCATTTAAGCATATGAGAGACACACACATATATTGTAGAAACAACATATAATCAAAGTCCATCGAGAATTGTCCTGGGAAGAGTTTTATGGATTTTGATATGTAAGAAAGTCCTTATGTGTGTGTGTGTGTGGGTATCCTTATGGTCACATTTGTGCATCCGTGGTGTGTACCACGTGAGGGTTTAGTTTCACAAATGGCTGTCTTCAAGACAAAGGGTATTTTGTATGCAAGTCCACTTTTTCAGCCTTAAGGATATAATTGATGAGGGGAAAACTAGCTCGGGACGCTGAATGGTTCAGTCTGTTTAGTCGCAGGGGTCAGGTGACGTCTTGTTAGACCTCTTGCTTCACCATTTCTGAACAGATCTGTTCTTGCCAAATTATAAAACATTGACAATGTCCTTCCTTTAGTTAAGCAACAAAAGGTCTTCTTGGCTCATAGCCTCAGGGATAATTTGGAATATGCAGCCCCTTGTGTTTGGTTATGTCTGAAAGCTTCAATTGTGTTTGGTCCATCCTCAATGTTGCTACATATCCCCCCTTCGTTCGATGATGGGTTGAGGAGAAGACATCATTGAACGCTGGAGAAACGGGTAGAGGAAGCAAACACACACAGCAAACAACAAGACAACACCTCCATGACTGGTCACTTTACTGGTGCAGGGCATTAGATTATCTAGGCCTAAACAGGTTCACTCTCTCAAAATAGTCAATCACGTTGAATAAAGTTTAGTTCAATTTTAGGACCGTTATTCTAGTTTGTTTTGGTACGGTAATTGATCAACTTTGTGACTAAATTTGATTTGTTTGTTTTATTCTCTTCTAAATTGTTCTAGGTTTAGACCAATTTACCTTTCAATTTGTGATACGAATGATGCAGGGAGTTCTCTGGCTCACATTCGTTTTAAGGTGACTTACAAATATAGGAGTGGTGTGTCAATCCTATTATTGTGACCTTGACCCTTATGGGGTGGACAGGCATTTTACCTAATAAAAGAAGGAAAGGAAGGAAGAAGTAAAACAAAACAAAGCAGTTGAGTGTTCCTGATATGATTTATAACTACGGTTGCGCAGCTAAGGTGTCAGGTATCATGATGTAGTGAGAGGTGTTCTCAGGTGTACTTGTTGGATGGGTAGTTACCAGGTTTCCTATGGTAAGTGTAGCTAAGTTGTTAAGCTAGATTCTGAAGTTAGTTTCTACCTGTGGGGGAAAACATACTTGTTGAATGTTTTGCACGGTAGAGGTGGTTAACTTCTGTATGTAAGTGAGTATGCTAGGGGTGTCGTGTAGTGCATGTATGTATGTATGGTCAGATCTGTCTCAGTCTGTTTTGCTCCCCCCTTTTGCTTGATGGCTTAGCTTTGATGAGCTTGTTGCATCTTTGCCTTGGAAAAGGGCTCTTCTGTGAGCTGCTGGGGGTCAATCCAGTAAGGCAGGAAGTTCTCTGGCAGACATTGGGAGGTAGTTTGGCACGGATGTGTGAAGATGTAGTGCGAAACTTGGTCTCCGTTGTTGCATTCCTCCGATGATGCCTTCTGGTTGTGACAGACTTTCTGACCTTCTGTGCATACTGTTGTTGCTGTAGCACACACGTGGTTCTTGAGTTTGGAGCTCGTTTGGTGGTTTCTTTATGAGTGATGGGTAGCCAGGATGGTGTTTTCTGGTACCTCTGGGTGTTCGTCAGTGGTTGACTGTGAGAGGCCACTTTGTTCTGTGTTGTTGTAGAACAAGTGGTCGTCAAGTTCGTTATGAAGGTGTATCAGATGAAACGGTGGTCTTCCGTTCCATCGCCATCCTGTTCATCATCCATGTTTACCTCATTTCCGATGAAAACTTTCAGTTGCCTCATTAGTTGCTCCGTGTCTTCTGAGGGTAAACTGTCTGGTTCTTGGGCATACTCAGTGCTGTGTTTAACTGAGTGGTGCCAAGGTGGGTTTCGTTGTTGAGTACCCACATGGAGTGCTTTTGGATGCCTTGGTTGATGGCCTTTGGATGTCCAGTTAGGTTTCCAGTGGTTTCCTTCTTGTGGGTTACTTGAGAAGCGTGGCTGGTCCCATGGCATTTCCATGCGGTTAGTGTAGTAGGTGTCAGCGACATGGGAGTCACGTTCTCTGTGCTCCTTACGAAGGACTGTGATATTGTCATGCCACTGGGTGTCTTCCAGTGCAAGGCTTGTGTCTTGGCTGATGGAGTTTGACACTGTGGATGTTTTCAAACCTTTCTTTGAGTTCATCTTTTGTTTGATGTAGGCCTTGTGTGTCAGGTCACGTAGCTGTTGAATTGTCATTGTGCCTGGGCAGGCCATGATGCCAAGATGATGACTCAATCCGGGGTGCAGGTTTCTCAGGAAGAGGGTTTTGAAGTTCACATCCTCTTCAAGTTCGGGTTTGTTATGTGCACCTAAGTAGGCTTGTCGAAAGCGGTGGTAGTAGGCTTGGGGAGTCTCTTGTCGACCTTGTTTGGTTTCCATAGCGATTAACACACCGTGTTCCGACTCTGGGCCTGTGAATTCTTTAATCAGTGTCTCACATAGCAGCTGGTAGTTTGACTTGACATGAGCAGGTTGTCTGTCTAGGAAGCTTCGTACCTCTGGACTGGATGTGGATCTGAGGAGGTAGAATCTGTCTCTGTCAGTCATATGTGGTCTCACCTCTAGGTGGAAGTTGATGTCTCTGATGTAGGTCTGGATGTCGGGACCCTCTGTGGAGTTCGGGTTGAACTGAGTGATATTCTTCACCAGCTGGTTGAGATCTTTAAAGGTCATCCCCTGTGCAGCTTTGGAGTCTGCCTGGATGAGCTCTCTTTGTTTGTTAGCAGGGAAGAGTTCTGTGGTGAAGGCCGGTGACGTTTTGGGTTGTGGCCATTCACTTCTTCCACTGTATGCCAGTTCTTGGATGGAGGATTCTGTTCTGCTCAGCAGGGGTGATGCTGAGGGAGGTCTCTCCCTTCTTGGCTCTGGTTTCTGTTGGAAAATGTGCTGGAGTTCATCTCTGACCGCGTACAGCTCGTCGTTGGCGTCATCTCGCTGTTGGGTCAGATGGTCCATTTCAGCGCTGCACCTTTCCAGGTGGTCTTTCAGAGCATTAATTTCAGAGTTCTTATCTTTAATGTCAGCTTTGGATTTCTCTAGCTGATGTTCAGCAGACTGGAGTTGGTTTACCAGGTGCTTTTGGACAGTCTTTAATTCTAGTTTGTCACGTTCAGTGACTGCAAGGGCTTCTTGGAGCTTGTCAACTTGTTTCTTTGTTTCTTGCTCCGCTTCGTCAGGCACTTTGAGTTTGTCTTGAGCTTTCGCTTTGAGCTGGTCTGTGCAGTGTTGAGTGTGCATCAGCTCTCTCCGGAACTCAGTGGTCTGACACTTGAAGTTGTCCTGGACTTTCACTTCCAGCTTGTCTATGCGGCTCTGGGCACGTGTCAGCTCCTCTTGGAGGTGGGTGATGTGCTTGTCGCTTAGTTTCAGCTGGGCTGTGAAGGCATTACTTAAGGAACAGGTTATTTTGGTTAGTTCCATGTGGTTGTGGTTCTGGCTTGAATCACGTGTCAGGAATCTTCTCAGAATTATGATTATTATTAAAAATAATAACAGTTCAATTGTCTTTGGTGTGAGGCAGTCTGTAATGCCTCTGAGCCAGGCGTCCACGTCATCCCTTTGGGCAGTGGGGTTCGTCGTCCACGACATGTTGGTACGCTGGGGTGAAGAGACTGACACAGACCTGTGTGGAATATAAGCCTATATGTGGTTGAACAGCTAAGTGTCGTTTCAGTGACGGTACACCAATAGTGAAGTGTCGTAATGACTAAGTGTTGGTCTAAGTGTAGACAGGTAGTCTAGTGATGTGAAGACTTCGTCACTCAACTGAGTAAAGGAAAGAAAGAGAAAAAAAGGTTAAAACAAATCTCAGTGGAAAGAAACCCTTTTTTTTTTTCAATGGGAGAAATATTTTTTATAAATATTTTCTATCAATGAAACGCCGGTTTCAACTCGTGGTGTGAGGACGTCGTCACTCAACTGAGTATGGGAAAAGAGAGAAAAGTTAACCAATTTCAATGAGAGAAAAAAAAACAAGAAAGAAAATTCTTAACTAAGGGAAATATTATTTATCTCGTAAATGCTTCCTATCAAAGAGAATCTGTTTCCAGAAAGGTAAACAATATTATTGTTTATGTTTACAACGAAAAATAATACAATAATAATGCTGATACCTCTTTTCTGAGTTTGACAGGATTGACACCACACACCGTCAGTTGGACCGCTTACAGCAGGGATGCTTTGAAGGCGACGGTTGCTCAACAATTGTCTCTGTTAATTGATCTTGGATGAGATGTCAAATTGTAAATTGCGTACACAGATGCAGGGAGAGTGAGGAGAACAGAGAGGGTTTGATTAAAAAATCAAATACCTAATGATTTCTTTGGAAAGATTGTCTTTCTCTTTCTTTTGAATCGATTGATGGTTCTCTCAGGTGTGTTCCCTACAAGTGCGAAGAATGGGATGGAATAAAGCAGGACAGCACAGGAAAGATGTGAGAAGGGAAGGAGATTGGATCCACAAATGGCTGGAGCCTTTGTCGAACTACGAGTATGGAATTGACAGTTGCCAAACAACTAAACATTCACAAATAAACTTTTGAAAGAGAGGGTTATCTCTGATTTATTTGAAACTCGTAGTGAGATACCAATGTCTCCTATTGAGGCTCAGGTGTGTCACTTCCAAGCAAAAAGGAAGAGGTAATGAAGATGAAAGAAAGTAATAATGATAGTGGACAAAATAAGAAAGGGAAATTAAATAAAGGGGTAAATGAATAAGTAAAATAGAATGGTTAAGTTTATAACCACAACTGAAATAAATGAGAAAAGGAGGATACAACGCAATAACAATAAGAAGCAAGTATGAGTCTAACAATATTTTGTAATAGGGAAAATGTTGGTGGAATAAGTTCTTAACTTTCAAAGTTTAAGACTTATTCGCCTGTGATTAGATCTAAAAGAGAAATTTAGAAATTATGAAATTAGATTTATTAAAAATAAATCGAGAAATCATTAGAAATTACCTGTTAAGAAAAATAGAATTTAAATTTAATAATTCCCTAAAAAAAAATCAAATTCGAATTTGACAATTAATAATCATAAACCAGTATTTTCTTTTGCAAGTAAAATGCAGGTAAAAGGAATTAATAATTGCAAACGACTTCCTTTTCAAGGAAAATATGGGTTAAGTGAGATATGGGAATGGTAAATAAGAAAGAAGAAAAGACCAACAGGTGGAAAGTCAATGTGTTTAAATGGTTAAATCACTTTAACGTTGTTCAAACAGACACTGTTTAACCATTGAGGTTAATACTACTGATAACCGTAAATAATGCTAAAGGCGTTAGCATATAGGCCTCACTGTAAACAACTGCTTTGGTTAGCTTGGCAAAGGACTAGCTAGCTTAGCCACCAAAAGGGTTTGTTTACACTGTGGCTCTGATCATGCGAGAGGTCAGAGTTCCCCCGGAAGCGTTGGTTAAGACTTCCGTGTCACGATCGTAACTATGGCAACGAAACGAACGCTAGTGGGTAAACATGTGAATTGCAACAGTTAGGAAACAGTTACGCATGTTACATGAAATGTCGGCGCATTTCAACAATGTTCATAGAATATGCATGTACAGTAACAGTCGATCATATTACGGGAAATGTCGGCGCATTTCAAACTGTACAAAAATACACCACTCGTAGCTTTAGCTGGTTTTACGACGTGGGGTTCCACTCAATTTATTAGGAGTGATATTAACTTTAAGCAAGCGACAGCTTTGCGTTATAATAGATGGAACGATGACGACCTCGGCAGATCGTCTCTGTGCAAGTTTATCTGAGCACACGAACAACAGGGTTCTTCGGTTAGTTTCAACGTCAAGCTTTACTTGAATACAATAAAAATAACTCTTATTCAACTACACTCGGACACACGCAGTGTTTACACGAGAATTCATTGAACAGACACCAACATACAAGCAAACATAGACAAACAGCTGTTTATTACTGGGATTGCAATGGGACACGCATTGACAATCAGACAAATATAACTGCTTATATGTTTATCACGGGTCGCAGTGGAACACGCACTGTGAATCGGATAAAAATATATAACGTTAGATGAGGAACACGCTCATCGCTCTGTGAGGAGAATAATCGTTCTTATATAGTTATTTTAATTACTGCAGTATAATTTTGTTAAGCTCTCTGGCTGATACACACACATGTATAGCTTTGACAGACGCTGGAACACGCAGACGTCGGTAAGCTATAATCAAGGTATTTCAGAAATTGAGGAACACGCTCAATTCTCACCTTATTGTTGTGTGATATTTTATATCTTGGGTTATTTTACTGCAGTTGAAAAAAAAAATAACATATATGGAGGCAGACAGACTAGATTAACAGCTCTTTCTGGGGTGCGTCTCTCAAGGAGCAGATTCATTCAAACAGGGCGCGCGCTGCGCGCTCTCCATCCGTCACACACAGACTTTCGCAGGTTCGGATCTCTCATCCGCACAATATGAAAAGATAAATTACTTCGTATATGCTTACAATTTAGGTTAAACTTCCCGCATTTTTCTCCACCATAAATAATGTAGCGATTGTACGCACGTATAAATATAATTAATTATTATTCATAACAGATTATGATCAATAATTAATAATTGAATTATTTTCAGAATTTACTGTAGCAAAATCAATAATATGATCAGTTTATCAGTTCATCCAATGAACGGAAAGCATAAACAATTATTAATTCTAGGAAATATAATATCTTCTTGGCCAAGAAAGACTAATTCCCAGCTAACAGCTAAATTAAGAAATAAATCAAGGGTCAAAGCATAGGTAACTTAGATCGAAGTTCAAGACAATAAATCGGTAAGCACATATCACAAGTAATGCTTCTCTTTTCAAATACAAACAATACTTTATTGATTATAAGCCTATGGCTAACACACAAAACAAATATCTAACACAAACACACGCACACGCATTCATACAAGTTGAAGGAAGACAGAGAGTGAGGAAGAATGAGTTTTAGGAGTTAGATGGTGAGATTCCAAGTTTCTATATGCACTTAAAAGACATGACCTGAACGAACCATCAATAATTAATTTCACCCTTTTATCGTTTCTTAGGCGGGTGATTCAATTTACATTTAAAGCACCAGTCAGTTAGAGTCTGGAGGCGTTACTTGCTTGTCCTTTGCGTTGCTTTGGGGATTCTCCTTTTTGTCGTAAAGGGGGTTTCCCGGTCCGTTGGTTGGCTGGCTGTCTCGTGCCTGGATAGATGTCTTGGGGCGGCCAATCACGTGGTGTGTTGGCGCGGATGAATGAAAGTCTTTGAAGTTGAAAGCTGGTTTTGCAGTTGAAACGTTAAAACGAAACTTTGCAGCAAAACTTAACTTAGAACCGAGACTTTTATCGGAAAAGAAACAAACTAAGAAAAGAAAGGAAAGTGTGACGAGATGGCTTCAATTAAATCTGTTTTAACCCATATCTTGATTTGGGTCATTTGTCTCTGCGTCTACATGGTTACTACCATCGTCGGGCATCACAAGAGCTTAGAGAGCGAGTCCAGAGCTCTTTTCCCGAGAGCGTTCAGAGAGCATCACAAGAGCGAGGATCACAAGAGCCGTTCAGAAGAGAGTTCAGAGAGAGAGCGTTCTGTGTCCGGGTCTAAGATTTTAAACTCAAAATGTTTGTCCCGCCTCCAGGAGGAATTTGGAATTCGGACAATAAGACACTATTATGGTTATTTGAGAAGGGGGTCTTTTCTATCCCCCCCCTTCTCTCATCGCGAATCATGTGTCCTCTGTGGTCTGCTTACTCATCAGCTCGAAACAGAGGATTCAGTTTAGACATAATTTCCATTTTAAGAACATAAACATTTTTACACAGATTTCAATCAAGCCATCTTTTGAATTAAACACATACGAGCATAATGATAGGAAACAACGCACAATTTCACTCACACACCTAATATTTATAACAAATATGAATTGTATGGCATTTAAGCATATGAGAGACACACACATATATTGTAGAAACAACATATAATCAAAGTCCATCGAGAATTGTCCTGGGAAGAGTTTTATGGATTTTGATATGTAAGAAAGTCCTTATGTGTGTGTGTGTGTGGGTATCCTTATGGTCACATTTGTGCATCCGTGGTGTGTACCACGTGAGGGTTTAGTTTCACAAATGGCTGTCTTCAAGACAAAGGGTATTTTGTATGCAAGTCCACTTTTTCAGCCTTAAGGATATAATTGATGAGGGGAAAACTAGCTCGGGACGCTGAATGGTTCAGTCTGTTTAGTCGCAGGGGTCAGGTGACGTCTTGTTAGACCTCTTGCTTCACCATTTCTGAACAGATCTGTTCTTGCCAAATTATAAAACATTGACAATGTCCTTCCTTTAGTTAAGCAACAAAAGGTCTTCTTGGCTCATAGCCTCAGGGATAATTTGGAATATGCAGCCCCTTGTGTTTGGTTATGTCTGAAAGCTTCAATTGTGTTTGGTCCATCCTCAATGTTGCTACATAATGTAAGCTGTGTTCCAACTTCAGAACGGACGAACGAAACGCTGTATCTGTGTTAAAGGAACACGCTGACTTTTTGGGACTTTATCTTATTCACCGTATCCCCCAGAGTTAGAT